CCCCCCCCCCCCCTCCCCCGTGTGTGTGTGTCATAAAACGCAATAATTTTTACCAACAAAAAATATTTCGTATTTTGTATTATTTATTGACCTTATGCACATTTAGAAAGATAATTTTTTAAAATATAAAAATGAAATACCTTCTACACAAAGCAACAGCACGCTCATTGAAACCTGCGTTAAGATAGCAATGTTGAAAGCGTACTCAAAACTGTCAGCAAGTCTTATCAAATGGCTATGTCTGACAATTAACATTCGTATCTTCTTTTTGCAGTTGTCTTTTTCCACTTCGATGCCAGCAAAATCCATTTGCAGTACCTCGAACTGTCCACATAGATGCATCGCGAGGCCAAAGAAGAAACCATCGTTTCCGCAATGCGAGGTAGCGTTGACGAAGATTTGCGCCGCTTGCAGTAATAGAACGCAGGTGTAAGTGATCGTTGATAGCGACCCAAAAACGCAGTAGGTTGCTAGAAAATACGTTGTTACCATCGTGTCGTTATCGTTTGTCTTGGAGACATTTAACCAAGGTATCAAATTATCAAATGGTACAGCCATGAAGAGAAACGAGAAGCCTGATGCGTAGCCCAGATATAATATCGTCAAGGACACCACTCTGCCGACATGGGTATACCTCATCATAACTTCCCGTTGTTGAATGTCCCGGGACATCGACCAGTCGTCGATAATGGATGTCACCAGGATGTAAGTGTGCTTCCAAGTAAAACGGATGACAAGAAGCTTGGAGAGGCTGACGACAGACGAGAGATCCATTAGAAAGGCCTCCATCATGTCCTCAGTACCCAGGCATTGCCGATATGTTTCCAGAGACAGGCTGCCGATTGTACTGATCTAATCACCGCGAAGAACCGGAAAGAACCGCGTTAATTCACGATCTCTATATTTTTAATTACTAATTACTCAAACGTTTGAAATGTTTAAGGCTGGTTGTTCCACCTTTCGTTAAATTTCTTACTCTCTTACTCTCTTATTCTTTTACCTTCTTATTCTTTTGTTTATCCATTAGATAAATTCCCACATTGTTTATCTAAAGATGGAACAACCAGCTCTAATTAATTATTTCTCTTGTTAATTATTTCTGTGACATTTACCTGGATCAAAATTGCTAAGGAACATCGTGCAATAGATTTGAGATCTCCCGCATTCAAAGGCCAAATTCCAATTATATTAAGGACTTTTTCATAGACACTTAGAGCATAATGAGATTCGTTGTTCCAATTACTTGCTTCCTTCATTATTTAATCGAAATATCTGTCTCCTTTCTAAGAAGTAATTAAGAAATTAATTAAGTCTAACGTACGTCACATTCTGTATGTATCAAAATCTCACAAAGAATCTCACGTATTTTTGTTTATACCGGCTAAATCGCATGAAGAAAACCTCCCTTGAAAAAAATCAGTTTTTTTCTTTTGAAACGAGCAAAATTTTTATTCGACAATATTCACTCTGAAAGAAAAAAAACCGATTTTTTTTAAAAGATGTTTCCATCCCCTTTAACATGCAACTCAGCCGATATTAAAAAAATACATATCTATCTTTTATATTTATCCATAGGACGACGTACTAAAATAAGCTCATCAAAATCGAAGGAAGACAGTTGGTTGTGTTCCTTTAGTTTAATTTAACTAATTTAAATAAATTCGATTAGAAATTCTTATTTATGTTAATATATTAAAACACAAAAACTTTTTAACTCTAGAATGCAATCCACATACGTAAATTTTACGTACAAGAGAGCGGAGTTATTGAGCGCAAAGCAATGGTCATTAGAAGATCTAATCTGTCATGCCAAATACTAGGATAAAATGAACTTTTAAAAATTTTATCCATTTTTTATATATCAGTTTAGTATTGTCTGTATTATAACAAATAGCGTAACAAGAAATTTCAACTTTTTAACATTTTTGTTATTATTTTGTGTTATAATATATATTTTACTTAATTAAATATTTTATTTACACTACCTTCGCTTCTTAAAAATGATGTGTATGTTTGGAATTTTTTTTTAAGAATGAAGAAGTGAATCAAAAATTGTTTATTGTGGCTTTATTATATGTATCTTCAAGTGTATGAAAAATTTTTTTTTTCTTATTTACAAAATGGCGATACTATAGCCGTATCGTTAAACATCTTTATTAGTCAGACCTCTCCGCAATGGTGTCTAAAATTTTTACACGGTTTGGCCTAGAACAAAATACTAAAAATTTTTATCATCTACATACTAAAAATTAAAGAAGTACATAGAAGTTATCAAAAATATTGATTTCTGTGTGCGTGACAAAATGGTGAACACTTGAGAAGAAAGTAGTTTTTTTCGTCTAACATTTTTATATAAAAATGTTAATTGCAAATAAAGTTTTCAACACACCGCAAAAATCCTACGCGCTTCTTTAGATTATATACATATAAGAGAATATTTTTTCAATCCAAATTTCAAGTGAATCAGATGAAAAATGTAAAAGTTATGTATAGTACACCACCGATTTTGAAAAAATCATTTTGAGAAAAACGCGTTTTAAGTTCCGGTTACTATTTTTTTGTTCATAAAGCAATAAATAAAAAAATACAGATAAAATAAAGATGATACTAAATACAGATAGTGCTATCATAATCACCTACTGACAGCCAATTTCCGTCGGTAAGTGTCTATATAGAATTTAGTGGCTCGGAACAGGTCAGAGTATTACTATTCGGAGCGGCCGCGCTATGCGGTAACGCGTTTCACTAAATCAGTTCTTGTAACATAAGATCATCAACATTTTTAAATGAAACTATTAGAATTCTATTTTTGGAAAACAATATACTATTGATTTAAGAAAAAAAATTTAATTTTTTCAAACCTCCAAAGTGATGTAATCCCAATATAAAGAGACACACAGACATAATTAAATTACATGCTCTATATCATTTCAAAATTAAAAAGTGCGGTTAAGATGTTCCCTCATTTCTAGCAATGAAAATAAGGGTTTTAAAATAGGTACCAAATGAAAGATCTTATAGAATTAAACATAAATATATATTTTTATTTTGCACCGATTTTCTATTATAAAATTATAGAGTATATATGTTTATAGTATAATATTATGTATAATACATTATGTTACATATATTGCACTTGAAATTATATACCTATATTTTGAATGCGGTTTATTAGTTGTGTCGAGTACGATTGATGGGCATTTTCAAATCTTCATTTGGAATGATGCAATTATGGCTGTGCCATATGCAAGGTACCATATGATGGTCATATTGACTACGTTTATTATCGTGCGCTTAATTCGCGACCTATACGATAGGTGTCTTTGTTTAACCTACAGGATAAACAAGGACATTTATTGTTTAGGCCGCGGCCTACATGCACGGTGTAAACGTAGCCATTAATAAATTTGTGAATATATAAAAGTATACTTCAATGACAAAAACAAAAATTAGATGTACTTTATTTAATATGTTAATTCAATAAAAAAAAACAGGTTGATATAATTGCAAACAATTGTCACACACACATTAAACAAAATGATTGATATACGTTTATCCCGATGACGTTATTTCGATTCCTTTTCACGGTGCATTGACTATAAGCTCCAAACTTACTATGAAGGCGCGCGGAAGCAAAGCCATGTCGCTATACCTATGCCGTCGAGGGTGGAACGGCCTTCTTTGATCTTTTATTCAAATGAGAAACGACGTTGCGCTGAAACTAAATCGGCATATCTAAACTGCATATTTCTAGATATGTTGCTTTGTAGTTGAGGACTGTCTCGCGAACTTTTGAACTTTTACCACACACAATTGCAATCTCTATCAATAAGAGCACTTTTAAACGAATATATACATATGCGACATGCAACGTAGTACAATCACGTGTCTTTTTCATTGTAGCAAGAACATAAAAAAGAATACGAAAATTAATAGTGCATCTCAGTTTCCTTACGCTGTAGTCCTGTAACTAAAATTGAAATTGATAGGTATCGTACAGGTATATGGTATTACAGTATATTTTGTTTATCATAAAACGTTCGTCTATCATTCTGTACCGTTACAGTAACTGAAAGGGAATAAAAAAAAAGATAAAGAATATAAGAGATGCCATGTATTGTTGAAGAAGAATTGGAAACTTTCATATCAAAACATAATATTTCATGCATATATTTAAAATAAAATATTTATTAAATCACAAATTAATCTATAAATTTTATGAAAGCTTAACTACGCGATGGGAACCAGATATCTCCAATATTGCGTAAACTTTAACAATAACATATATTTACTATTTATTCATCTAACATAACACGCAAAACCGAAAGATATGATGCCGTGGACTTTAAGATGTCTTTGAATGTCATCATATTCATGACCACGAATTTTCCAGCTGTCAATTGATGAGGAATACTGGCTCGCATTAGAATAATCTGGAAATCTTTGGCTACACTAGCCGGCAGCTCATACCAATCACAATCGTAGATAGCATAACACAATGCGGTGCTTCTCATCTCCAAGTAATCTCCGGCAAACGTGTAGAACGACAATTGAATCAGCATAAGAAGTAAGACACTGGCGCTATGTATAATCATAGATAAATTGCGAAGAGGTAACGATGCGATTAACATATACCCTACAAAACATTAAAAACAAATGCAATTTTTATTGGAATATATTAGGAGCATTGTTATTCTATTAAAAAAATTTATTTAAAGCGTGTAACTATTATAACTATATATAATATTTTATCTAAATTAAAACTTAATCTTGTAATTACAAATTCTGCAAAAAGATTTTTAATTTTACCAATTTTTCATTTAAAAGCATATTACCATCTGTACACATAACAGTGCTCGTAACGAATAAGTACATCAAAACGTTCGCATTGAAGGACTCCTCCATACACTCCGTCAGCCGGATAAGTTGACAGTGCCTTTGGACCGCTTCGGCTATCGCGCATCGTGTCTCGCTAAATCGGAATTCGGATAATTTGATACTCAATGCGTCAAACTGGGCGCACAGATGCATGACCTGTCCAAAGAAAAAACTGGTAATACCGAAGGTTATTACACCAGTAGTGAACACTTGTATCGCCTGAATGACTATAAATGCCTTTTGCAGCGACGTAGTTCGAAGTACACAGAACTGACTTCTGTTCTCATGGCTTACGCTCACATTGTCAGTTTCATGATCAAGCCGACCCGTTTTCACGATAACTGCTGATATCGCCATAGCGGCGTAAACACCTACTATGATACCCACAAGAATGAAAGTAAGCACCGTCACTCGCGTTGACATTGTCGCATATTTCTCCATGATCCAACGAATTTTCTTATCTTTCTGCATGGCCCAATCGTCCATCGTGGAGGTGACTATCTCGAGTAATTCTTCTCGGTGGATACGAGGTGTGATTAGCCTTGTAAGGGCTAAAGCGGCAGCGGCACCGGTTGTTAGCGAGTCAAGAGATTTTTTCGCACTACTACAATGCAGATAGATTTCGGTAAAATAAACGAACAATGGAATTACCTAGAAAATAAAAAATTGTCATGGGTATTTATTATTATAATAGTTATTGAAAGAGTCAAATTTAATTATTTAGAGGAGAGTGGTCTAAATCGGACTTATTTGCTGTTTTTATTCTCTATGAAGCGTAAATAAAGTCCGATCATAAAACGAATAGTGCCGTTCGAAAGATCATTTAATTACCTTCATTTTTGCTTCAGACCGTTTTGACGTATCTCTTATTTGTGTCGAACTATAACGGAAAATGTAAAAATGCATTTTCCGATCCGATGGACTATATACAAAAAAACTCTAAAAAGACGAGTAAGCTAGCTAATTCATCGAAGAAAGAAGGTTCGCTATTTCCATTATAGTTCGATACAGGTAAGAAAACGTCAAAACGATCTGAAGCAAAAATGAAGGAAATTAAATGATCTTTCGAACGGCACCATTGGTTTTATGATCGGACTTTATTTACGCCTCATAGAGAACAAAAACTGCAAATAGATCCAATTTAGACCACTTTCCCCTATTATATTAATGAAATTTGTATCATTAATGCGGTTATGAATTATTATATTGAACACTTTTATTGATAGAAATATTTACATATCAAATGTAGTAACAAATATAAAAATAAGATTTATTTCATTTTTTAAACTTACATTATTTCTAGAACTGCAAATCTATAAAATTAACAATTTTTGCAATGAAGGAAGAGTAAATACAAATTACAAAGTTTTCTATTTTTATTAACATTTTAATTATGATTTAGTTGATAGAAATGACAATTACAAATACAAAAATAATTAGTATTAGAAAATAATTCTATATTTGACACAAAAAATAATGAAAATTTTTTATATCTGTTATGAAAACAACTTTCAGGAATTTTTTGACAGTGTATGCAAAGAAATGCTTAACGAGATATTCAAATATTTCATCATGCAGCAAATTAGCATAAAAGTAAAATTTGTTTAAATTGGTTTAAAGAGTCTTGTTATAAAATTTGTATTAATTATAAATAATATTAACATTTTATTGAAATATATATTTATAAAAAAGAATCACATAGTGATTTATTTAACGGTACTTGCTTCCAAAAATACAGCGATAATCCATCTGAGGTCCATGAAAATGTTTCTTTCTCTCACAGGCCAAATGCCAACGCAACTGAGAGCAAATCTATGCACCGATAATGTTACAGTAGTGCTTGTATGAAAAATCATTTTGAATTCAAAGACTTCTACTACAAGTATATGATCCTTATATTAAGGCAAAGCACGAGGAAGTATTTTTCTTAATCATTCAGCCGTAATTTTTTTCAAAGACATATCACCGTATTGCATTTTTTATTCGCGTGCGACCGCTTCCTGCCGCGTTAACTTTTCACGAGACACCGAAGAATGTAACAAAGAAATTTTCCATTGAAAAAAATCTCAAACCAATAAATGTCGTAATTTACAAAATTGCTACCTTGAGGTACGCGATGAAGTAGCTCAGGGATATTATACTACAAGTTTCTTCTTTTATTGCAAGAATATTAGAATTTTAAGTAAAAAATACACGTAATATCAGTATATCGATGTTACAGAAAAAGTATAATATTCTCTCTAATTTCTTATTTATAAACGGTAAATCTATATCATACTTTAAGGTATATAAAACTAAAATATTGAAAAAAATTGTGACATCTTTACTGCGATATATACAATTGATTTAAAATTCTCTCGTCTTGGAAGAATATACAGTATAAAAGAATATACAGCGCCAGATAGTTGATACTTTAATATAAAATTTTATCTCTATTGTACAAAACTGCATTCTATTACCCGAGCAGAAATGAATCTAGCCAATCTGATTTACCATCTAGCCACTAGACAGCATTAACTAGATAAAATTTCTAACTCGTCACTGGATAGTTACTAGCTAATACACTACTCGCATTAATTAAAGCATCACGTCTTACACCTTCGAAAAATTGGTAAACTTTAAATGAGTGTAACTTCTACAAAAATGGTCAAAATAAGATTTTCAAAAAAGCATTTTGTAGCTTGAAATCTCTACTTTCGAAGTTTGTAATTGAAATTTCAATATGACTGATACTTTACGGAGTTATACGGACACAAATGGATATCCGTCAAATCTAAAAATTTTTCACAAATTTTACAAAGGTCTATGACATGAGATAAAAATTACACGAAAATGCGATTTGCAGCATTGGAAAGAGTGAATCTTTACCTTTAATTTCCTTTTTTATTCAACGTTGTACGATTTTTTTTTAACCGAGTTATTCAACATTGAATTAAAAATGGTACCTTTGACTTTGACTGTTCATAAAAAACGAACGGAGTGACGTACAGCATTTTTTAAAAAACAAAAAAAAAGTTCAATGTTTTCTCCTTGAAATGCTTTTATCAATTTTTAGACACAGATAAGCTTCTTCTGTAAAAACTTAAATGAAAGGTGAAGTTGAAAATTGAGGCAATTATCCGTTTCTATTCTGGTCAAAAGAGAGAGAGAGAGAGAGCAACTCTGATAATTAACGTAATTTTACACTTTAGAGTCTACTAATTTCCACGAGACTCATACGAAACAGTCGCGACATTTTTCAACTAATGTCCTTCATGTTCGAAGTTACGATTTTCGGCAAGACGGCATTCGCTGTATTGAAATTAATCTTATATCGCAGCATGCGATCACACCGCTGGCATTAGCGTTACCCGAAGCGTACCACGTGGAGGTTGCACAGTCGAATTTTACGCTTCTTGTGTGTTCGTGTGCATCCTAACTATAGCTAATAACTAGCCAGAAATACTAGACAGCAGTTATCTAAGTTAATCCGTGTCGAACAATTAAAGTTTTTCTATCTCATGACTAGTTAGCCATGACCATGAGGTTCAATTTCTGCTCGGATAATTAAAATGTCATATTGCATCTTTTATTCGTATGCGACCGTTCCCTGTCGCATCAACTTATATTATAAGATATCGTGGAAAGTATAATAAAAAAATCTTTCCTTGGAAAATGTCTGATGCTACAATTTACAAAACCTCTATCTTGATGAAGCAGTATACGAATATCACAGGTCTATTATCTCTAGTAAAAACGTTTAAATTTTAAAATCTTTTATTTCTCATAAAAATACACGCGTATATATTTGTGCGTGTCCGCGTGCGCGTGTGCGTGTGCACGTACGTGTGTGGGTGTCAATGTTCGGAGAAACTAGAATTTGCTCTCAAATTTCTTAAATAATTTCTTATATTTTATAAATTTTATGTAAGAGCTTAACTGTTGCAATGGGAAGCGGGAAATAATATTGCACAACATCAACAACTAATAATTTATACATATATATTATTTATCCATCTAACATAACACGCAAAACCGAAAGATATGACGCTGTGGACTTTAAGATATCTTTGAATGTCATCATATTCATGACCATAAATTTTCCAGCCGTCAGTTGATGAGGAATACTGGCTCGCATTAGGATAATCTGAAAATCCTTGGCTATACTAGCCGGCAGCTCGTACCAATCGCAATCGTAAGTGGCATAACACAATGCAAGGCTCCGCATCTCCAAGTAATCACCGGCAAAAGTGTAGAACGATAATTGAATCAGCATAAGCAGTAAAATGCTAGCACTATGTATTATCATAGATGGATTGCCAAGAGGTAACGATGCAATTAACATGTATCCTAGAAAACATTGAAAACTTGCACTTTTCATTGGAATAGAGAATACGAGATTCGATATTACTCTCGCATTATAAAGATTGTAATTATAATACGAGATAATTTGTACATACTATACATTTTATCCATGTTAAGGGGTAACGGCACTCTAGAATTTTCAAAAAATCAAATTTTTTGCGTTTAAATGATGCCTTAGTGTCTTAAAAATGAGGTACATTTGATCCCATAGCGCGATAAAATTTTTAAGTACTTATTTTGAAACCGAAACTACCTCTCTACGGTGCGTCACTGCTCGGTCTATAATCCAATGGGTGAGGCGTTCCAAAAAAATATCTAGCTATTGTAACGATCTTACCAAATGGGATAATGAAAAGGAAAGTTTTCAGTGTTACCTGTAGATGGCACAAGTAATAATTAATTCAGAAAAGTAGGGGAGAATATCCTAAATCGGACTGTATTCCAAATCGGATCTTTTTAATTTAAATAAATACGGTTAAGCAAATTTGCGTGCTATTTATAATGTAAAGTCCTTATAAAACTCTGTTATAACGTTCATAGAATAGATGCAAATATATATTTTTGGCTATCAGGCAAACAATTTTTTAAAAAAGAAAATTCTTGTAAATCGTTATTTAAAAGATGTTAAAAATTTAAACGGTAATTGATTTAAGATAATTAAAGAGTGTAGAATTCAAAAATATCAAGAGTTTTGTGATTACTTTTGCAGTTTATTGTAAAATGTATTCCAATCGTTAGATAGAACGCGTGTCCAAATCGGGTCTATCTTTAGGTGTCCAAATCGGACCTATATAAAGAACACTAAAAAGGCGAGTAAGTCAACTAATTCATCGAAGAAAAAAAGTTTGCTACAACCTGGTTGTAGTACTGGTGATTATCCGACCAAATCTGGTCTAAGGAACACTTTTACATTTTCCATTATAGATCGACACAGGTAAGAGTTACGTCAAAATGGTCTGAAGCAAAAATGAAGGAAATTAAATTATCTTTCAGTATCATTGGTTTTATGATTGGACTTTATTTATATATAGAGAACAAAAACTGCGAATAAGTCCGATTTAAACCACTCTCCCCTATATAAAAAAAATTTATACTTTTTTAGTACTTAAAACTTTTAACGCGTTTTACTCGGAACAAATTTTTCGAATTTGCCGGAAACAGAATACGAACAGTTTTCGACCAATTCATTCCAAATTTGGACAATAGCATCGTAATTAGATTTTACACAGAAGTACGTAAAGGTTTTTTAATACTTTATCAACTTTTTTGTTATAAACAATTTACGGTGAAATTTTTTACTGAAAAATGAATTTTTTTCAGATAAGCACTTTTTTCAAAATTAATATTTTTTAAATTCCATACGTACTTCTGTAGCCAATCATATATAGTTTTCAAAAAATTTTAGTTTTTAGTTCTAGATTGAAAATTGTGAGAGAAAAACTTTCTGGCCGTGAAGCCCCTTTGTCGAGAGGTGATTTCGTGTTTCATGTAGT